CCATAGGCTGTGAATCAACTTGCAACTATCAACCGGACCCGCTCTTTTTCAACCTAGGTTCTCTAAGTTAAACCTACGGCCCCGGGCCCGCTGAATCACAAGTACATACATTAACCTTTGCCGCTGCCTCGTACGCGAATTTGATCAAGCTCCATCTCCAGGAAGGAAAGGGCGACAATTTGGCGACAATTGTGAAGGAACTCTACAGAATTTAAGAGCTTTATCCTAAGATCTGTCAGCTGCGACCTACCGTTGAAGAAATTCAAACTAGACTGCATCCTCCTTACTTCAACAGATATTCCGAGTATATGAACTGGCTTGCCGCTTCTTGCCGTCGAGTAACTTTTTTGATCTTTGATGGCGTTGCAATACATTCACATGTTTCAATTCGACTCTTTCTCTCTTACTACTACATATGTCTCTCCCTAATCAAGTCGCGCTGGTCACTGGCTGTTCAGAAGGCGGAATAGGATTCCATCTGTGGGTTTCTACTGCCCGAAAAGGATCACATATTCTTACTCGCTATCCATTTCGTTAGATGCCAAAATCTGGCGGCCCGCAAAATCACAGTCTACGCAACCTCACGCTCGCTCTCGTCGACCAAAAAGCTCGACCATCCGCTGATCAAGCGACTAATCTTGGACGTGACGAGCGATTTGGACGTTCAGAGAGTTGTCGACACCATCATAGAGCAGGAGGGACACATCGACCTCCTAATCAATAACGCCGGGGTATTTGCCCCTGGTGAGCAGCGAATTGTATCTGTGTGCGCGATCTCCTAGACACCTTGTTATTTTATAGGGCCCGTAATCGACTGGACCCCGGAACGGATGCAAGAAATCTACAACACCAACGTTTTTTCGATTCTTCGTCTCACGCGCGCCGTCATACCACACATGGCAAAGCGCTCAAAGGGCACCGTGGTCAACATAGGCTCGATTGTCGGGGAGTAGTGAGTTGCCTGCCCTGCGTTCTTCCGCATGCAGACCAATCAATAAACATCCTGACGCGGAATCAGCCCGACACCCTGGACGGGGATCTACGATTCCTCTAAGGCAGCCGTGCGCGCGCTAACGGAGGTCCTCACAATGGAATGCAAGCCCTTCAACATCCACGTCATGCTCGTCGCGCCCGGCTCCGTCGCCTCCGACATCATGAACAAGTTCCCAGAACTCAGCCTCCCCGCAACCTCACTCTACCATGCCTTCCTCAACAACATTGTCCAACGCGTGCACACGTCCAAGAACAGCGGCACCTCCATGTCAGGCGAAGCTTTCGCGGAAGAAATAATTGAGAAGGCGCTCCGCCGCTCGCCGCCGCGCTACGTACTCACTGGGGGACATTCGTGGCTGTTTTGGGCGTGGGGGTATTTTCCCCGGAGTTGGTACTTTTGGGCCATATGGCGGAGGTTCTCGAGGCTTGGGGAGAAGAATAAAAGTACGCCCACGCATCCGACCGGATGTAAGGAATACTGACCAAGCTACAAACACAAAGCTTCATAGACGTTCCCTGTGCTTTCCATAAGATGATGCATTTCCGACTACCGCAGCGTTCTTTTTTTTTTGTGTCAAACAATCCATCATGAGCGCTGAGCAGCACACGCAGTTGCGCTGATCGAACGGAAATGCGTAGACTTGGTGGGCCCCGAGTCGACGGGCGGGAATAAAAATGTAATAAGACCACAGCGATCCTGCCTTGGATGTAGTCATACGGAGGCGCAGAGCCACCCACACCCTCCTCGAGCTCGATGTGCAGTGTTCTCAATCCCTTTGACAACAACCCACTGCTCGATTGCATCGGAAAGACTCGAGTGGCAGCGTTCTTCCCATTCGGTAAGTCGACAAAATGCAGCTTGGGCCCCGCGCTGCGCGCTGCGCGCTCCACCTCGTCTTGCCGGTCACTGTCTAGCTTGCTGAACTGGGTGAATCGCCACGTCAGGCGACCCGCGGTATAGTCAAAGTAGACGCAGACGGCGGCGTCCGGGTATTCGTGCTGGAACGTCACTTAGAGGTGGAGGTGCATCAGTTTGTAGTCGCGGTTCATGAGCGCGCGGATGAAGGAGCGGTCCCGTGTGCTGATCCAATCCGGCGCACCTGCGAAGTTAGATTTGATTTGAGCAAGCTAGAGATATCGCCAATGTAGAGCACGACTCACTCTGGCTCCTCAACATCATACGACGACAGATGTTCCGGTGACCAGCCTTTCGATCGGAGACCTGGCGCCGCTTCGAGCAGTAGTATCGTCCTTGGCATGAGACTGTGGTCGTTTGATACGTTACTATTGGGTGAGGACAATTGGCTGAGAGCTGAACCTCCTCAAGAAAATGAAAGGTAAGTGGGGACTATTTCTGGAAACTTTTGGAGAAGAGACCATTTCTTGAACAGTCTTGTAGGCGCGATCCATAACTGAAAAAAATTATTCTTGCTATCATAAACTAAACCTCGTCCTCCGCATCGAGATTGAAATCGTGCTTCAATACTTTGACGCCTCGTACCGAACGGTTTATCGTCCCAGCTCGGATAAGCAAGAGGTTGCAGGTGATTGGCTATTTTCACCGTTAGAACTATTAATGATATTTCATATTATGATTCACTCACGATGATATGGATCATCTGGCCGTTTCAGTTGATTCAGCAACCCTAGCAAAGGTCGTAAAAATTGAGCCGGAGCTACACTCACTGCGAGAGACGCAACATATTCGAGATTGCTGCCCAGCAGATACACTCCGAGCGACGCAGCGTATAGATCAACCCGGTCTCCAAGAATATTGACACAATGCGGGCGAGGAAATGCGGTCGTTGTTGGATATCTGTGGGGTCACCGACCGTGATGAGCCGCCATACGATTAGTGCTAATGGGATTTTTAGCGGCACGCATATCATAAACGCGACAACGTACACGTCGTAATGAGACTGGTGGCGAAAGTCAACAGCAGGGTTGCAGATATTAACGGGCGGATGTTCGCGTCATTCAAGGTCTCGTCGGGGCCGAGGTTGGCCTCAAAACTTGCACTTGCGAGTGGAAGAACTGCCACATGTCCGTATTTAGTGAATCATTCCATCGCGGTCTGAGGTACGCACCTGAAAGTGCAATCCAGCTCGCGCCTGGGGCCGCAATTGCGCTCCAACTCCTATCGTATATCACGTAGCATCGATATATCTGGATTTCGAATTAGATACATAGCACAGAAGTATTGAAGGAAAGGTCCAGCTTACAGAGGCCCGTCTCCGAGAATGACTTGCACCGCATCCTCCACCGCCAAAATTCAATGCCTCCACCCGTTACTTTCGGTCTGGTAAAATTTCAGCGCACCCTCAGGCCCGTCATAATCGACGAAGGCGCTTATGACATTCTGCAGGGACATGCCGATGCTGAAAGTCGATACAAGGAGCATCAGGATGCTTGCAGCGAGGATCGGAAACTTGATTTCGTGACGCGGTTTCATCTTGCACCTCTGACTGGCACAGAAGAGTAAGGACCGGATGCATGGAACGAATGTCGCGAGGAGGTTTCCTGGACGGAGGAGTGAGCCGCTTGGTACTCACATATGACACACCGTAAAGCACACAGCTAACGAACATGGAGATCAACCGCGCTGTATGTGCCTGCACATCGACCATGGTATTCGAAATCAACCAAAGGAACCTGCGCGTGGAGGAATAGAAAAATCAGTGTAAGAGAGAAATATGTTACAAAGATCTGAAGGAGCAGGGGTGAAGATCTACGGCCTTCATAAGACGCGCCCACAAGACAGTGAATTCACCGTCTCCGGCGTGATTCACCATGGGTACTCAGGCTCCATGAAACACGCCTTCCTCGGAGCCGGGTATTCAAAGCGTCGGTGCTGTCCAACGGTGTGTGGTTGGGTCGGCGGCTATGGACTGCAGGTTTTGTCGTGACCAGTAAGACTTATACACAGGCTTGACAAATAAGACAAGAGGCCATTCCGGCAGCTGGAATTTTTGATAGCCTAGACGGAGAACAGCATTTCAGAACCGCGGCGAATGGCATGCGGTCTTGATTTTGAATGCCGCTGCATCCCAGTTGTTAACGACTTGTATAGGGTTCTGTTCGACTCCGACTAGGTCGTCCAAAGAAACGATTTTGTACAGGAGACTCGAAAGGCTCAATCCTATGGTATGCTTGGTCAGTTCACGATGCTGTGAAAAGGGTGTGGCTCAACTGTGTTCCTACCACATCTGAACACGTCGGGCATGCATTCCGGATGAGGAAAGGCGTTGATTTCGAAGATTCTCCTCCCGATTTCTGGACTAAAATGAGACCTCGTGTGCAATGATCCATGGCTCGTATTCGGAGTCGGACAAAGGGTCGTTATTAGTCTTGTGAGCTCTTTGTCATGTGTGGCAGTCCAAGGTCCAAAGTCACCGAAATTTGAGCACGAAGTCGTTGGTGTGGAAGTAGGTGGGGAAACGTCGGAACAGGTCGCGGAGCAGTGAAGATTCTGGGCAATAACTCGAGATTGTGCGTCGGAGACGACGTTGCTCAATGGGCTTGAAGCTGGTATGGTGGCGGGAAGAAAGGGAAACGCCCACGTGCGAGGCGCGTGTTACACACACAGCAACAAACAAAGAAACGCGACAATGTGATAGGATAGGTGGAAAACTTCTTTTTTTCAGGAGGGAGGATCTGACCTGCGTAATTTTTTAAATTTGCCGCTCTCTATTCGCACTTCCGCAGACTTCCAAAACACCACTACGTTGGGCGAGAATCCCGAGTAACTTTTGCAACCAAGCAGAGTTCTGTCCAGGTTGGATTGCAATAGCACTGTTTGACTCAGGCCTCTCACAAATCCATCAGCATCGGGCGGAAAATCGCGGTGACATCGCGGCAGGAAATGCAGAATCATATAAGACCTTCATCCCAAAAAAACTCTGGTTGTAAAAGTTTAAAACTCTTGATAAAACGTCGTCGGGTCCGGGCATTTTGTGTCTAGGTGACCTATCGCTTGACATATGATTCGCCATCGAAGGACCGTCATCACCGAAATGGTGTATCGGTAACCTTACCGCCTCTCAATTATACCCAGCTTTCTCCGAGTCCGCGGTAGCCCGGGGTTCGATTCCTCGTTTCGGAACTTTTCTTTTGCTAATGCAGTACATGTACATGTATGGTTATGTCCCTCTTTTCGGCCTTTCGGTTTGTTGGATTTTTCTACTCACAAAAATCAGGTTTTGCGTGGGTTTACGGCTATCCATCTCTTGCAATTCCTCGTGTGCACCAGATCGATCAACGATGTCGAGAAAATCGAAACTCAAGGCATGTGTGTGCCTCTGGACCTCTCACAGAGGCTTTGAGAATTTTGGGCCTTGCGTTATTGTTAAAAATAAAAATAAAAACGCTGCCTGTTGTTCAGTTCGTTGTTGTTCGTGTTCGTTCCTCGGTGATACGAAACCGACACGTGCACATCAGTCATGCCGTTAACTCCTCCCTGAGTGGCACCTGCCAACAGATCGCTATCACTCCCTCCTGCCTCCTGCCTCCTGCCATTGCCAACGCTCGCCTGGACCACCGGCCCAAGCACTTCTACTGGATCTCAACCTCTGAGGGAAGAGAATTTGCGGGAGCCACGTCCAAATCATCTGCTCTCGAATACGCTCCGCAAGCTTAAGCCGACTGGAGCAGACTCAGAGTATCTCAGTTCGCATCTCGTCGTTCACTTCGTCGTGGTCATGGTTCAGGACAAAACTGGGGCCATGGCTACGCAATCGGACGATCAGGATCATGCATTCCCGTCAGAGATCGAGCAAGAGATATTCGAATCCGCTGCTTTGGCGCATCCAGAGTCCATTCCAACTTTCATCTTGGTTGCGCGGCGCGTTCATACATGGTCACGCTCTTCATCAACTACGCGTCGACCATATTATGCTCACATATCATATGACGACAGGATCGAACCTTTCCTGTACCGAATTATCAGCTTGCACTACCCCCACACACGCTGCAATGCCCCACTTACTAAGCAGGTTTTCCTCGAACTCCTGCCGTTGAAACCATCCGGCTTTTTTCACGAACGCGTCCGCCGTGTGGCCCTCGCCAAGGCCTCCCACGAGGACACAATCCTCATTCTGTCCGCCTGCACGGGGACGACAGATCTAGTGCTTTTTCCACGCCCAATTACGATCTCCCTCCTCCCCATTCTCACAAACCTCCCCCTTCGTCGTCTCTCCGCGAATCTCAAATTCCTATTTTCCGACGGGGCCGACTTCACGCACGCGTTGTTCTCCCGTCTTACGCACCTCGATATACTCGAAACCCCTATTTCCGAGTCGTGGATCACGGATCTTGCAGGCCTCCCGTGCCTGACGCATCTCTCGTTCAACATCCCCCTCTTCTGGTCTGCAGGGGATCTCACCGCAGTCCTCTTCCGGGGCCTCCTCGCCAGTTGCCCGCGCCTCGAGGCACTCATCCTCCTCCTCTGGAGTCGAAGCGTCGACCAAATCGATACTACGCCATACAAGCATTTCGCCGACAATCCGCGCTCCGTGCTCATGAGCGTTACGGGACATCTGGAGGACTGGGAGCTCGGGGCGGCCGGGGGAGAAGATTATTGGGACCGGGCGGACCGGCTCATCAGGCAGCGCAGGTCTGGTGAAATCGCAGGTGCGTGTCGCCCTCTGTTGAAGCGACGTTGACATGAACATTTTCTAGCCTCTGTGTGGCATAATACCCACTCAGCACCGCGATGTTATATGTAACATTGCTACAAGACTGTGAAGACTCGGATGCATTTATCTGCAATGATGCGAGGTGGGCTGATCAGCGCGATAATAGCGCGCTGGGAGCGAATTTCGAGTTATTATTATGAGTCTGAAGATATCCACGCAGGTACCGTTCATCAAGTGTACTGTACCACCGCCTGTTCTTTAATGCAGAGCATACACTACAAGTTCCACTGGCACAGGCAAATTTTCACAGTGCATGGCATGCCAATCTTTGGGTTGTGTTACTTCTCGGCCGAAAATCTGTACCGCGGTGGCTCATTGCTCTGTTTCAAATTTCTATTCAACTCCAAATGTATTATGTGAACGCACGAGCCGTCGCACCCCAGGTCGCCTCAAATTACAGTGTGTCGCAGTGGACAAACGGTGAAGGCAGCATAAATTAGGCTGTGCTCCGTTCTCGTTCAAGTTCCGTTAATTCGAAAAATAGTTAGGGAATTCTAATATTTTCGACGCGCAAAAAGTCAAGAGAGGTTGCCCGAGAAGCTTCAGAAATGACCCCGTCTCCGCTGAGCCGTTCAAAAGCGTGTTTCAAACTCCGATACAACTCCGAAGAGGGTGCGGTGATGATCAGTGGCGATGACTTACGTTTTCTTCCTGACCTCTTCCGTCGCCTTTCCTTTGTGCTCAGTTCTACAGCATGGACGTCGAATGTGGTAAATGCTACACCCATTTTACAACGAGGGTCCTTCCATCCAGCAGAACAACGATGGCACGGACGACAGCTTTTCACCTTCACCTTTTCACCTCAGACCACTTCTTGTTTGACGTACGTATGATACCCCCGTGGGGTTTTTTTTTTTTGGACACCCCTGTCATGTATGTACGTGTCCACTGCCATTCCAAAAAGTCATCGGTCTCACCCTCACCTGCGGATTTCTCCCTGTCCACCTTTGAAGTATCTACTCTCTACATTCATGCCATCAAGTTACAGAAGAACTAAAACTTTGATTTTGAAACCAGAACACGTACTACACCGCAAGTTTCTCCCTACTGAGCAGTCGATTTTCACGTCAGTTGAACTGGCCCACTTTCGGCCGAAGATCCTGTAGAACGCAACCTGACCGGACGACAGATCCGATCCCTTTTTTTTCCCCTGACGACCCCAACGCTCAAGTTCTTACGGTACCCGTTTGCTCAGACAGATACCGCCACCATATTCACGAAATCCTCTCGTGAAACTGGAATGTAAAATATCTGAGCTTGCGGCATCTCTCAATCGACGGGGCATTATAAATAATATTGCACGAGTTCAACAGTCAAGAATTTGTATTGCATCCAGTGGTAGCTTCGGTTGAATAATCGAAGACATTATACAGAATGTAATCGAATTTTTGGGCCGCAAACGTGGACTGTTAAAGCAAACCGCCCAAGAGACCACCCAAGACTCCGTTGAGGAGAGAACCTAGGCCGAGTGAGTTGAGCAGATTCGTGAGACCGGGTACGAGAGGCGCGACGGCGGCGAGCAGTCCGTTGACAAGCGGCCCGAGAGTGACCAGTAGCGAGCCTACAACACCGCTGGGAAGGAGGTAAGTATTCAATGATCAACCACGACCTGTTGCGCATGCAGGCAACGGAAACACTAACTTCACGTCGTCGAGGAGGGGCTGGACGATGGCAGCGGCGGGGGTCGATGCGACGACGGCGGAGACATCTGCGAGGGCACCGTTGACGAGCTGGGTTGGTGAGACAGAATAAGAATTAAAATAATGGTTGAATTCCAGGAAACGGGACTGACAGTGAGGGCGGGCGCCAAGAGTTTGGCGGTTTTGGAGACGGAGAGTACACCGGTGGCGGTGGCGAGGATGGTGTTGAGCTCGCTACCCGCGAGGGCGCCCACCTGCATCTCCGCACCGGATAGGATCGCCTGCAGCTGAGTGGTGAGCGGGCCCACAATCTCCGCGGTCGCGTTCGAGAGGGCGATTGAGGCTGGGAAAGTGAACAGCGAAACGTTTAGGGAATATATATAAATCGAGATAGAGGGAAGGTATTGCGCACAGAGGAGAGTGGTGATGGGCGTCAGATCCGCTGTGAGCTGCGTGAGGAGGGCGGGGAGGGCGATTGAGGGCAAGCCGAGCGAGGCGAGTAACGCCGGGAGACCCTGCACGAGCGGCGCGACGGCGACCAGCAACCCGTTGACGAGGGGTCCCAAGGTGGTAAGTAATGTGCCCAGCTCGCCACTGGGAAGGAAGTATTCAGCGGTAAGCAATGGGATGTGTTTCAAGCAGGAAAAACTAACTTGACGGCGTCGAGGAGGGGTTGGACGATCGCGGCCGCGGGTGTGGAATTCACGACGGCGAGAACATCTGCGAGGGCAACGTTGACAACCTAAGTAAGATGTCAGGGCAATAGCGGCGGAATGAATTTCAGGAAGGAGCGCATACAGCGAGAGCGGGCGCCAAGAGGTCGGCGGTCTCGGCGACGGAGAGGGTGCCGTCGGAAGAGGAGAGAATGGTTTTCTGTTTGCTTCCTTTCAGGGCGGACACCTGCGTTGTGGCAGCCGAGAGGATCGACTGCAGCTCATCGGTGAGCGGCCCAACGACCTCCGCGGTCGCGTTTGAGATGTCGATTGAGGCTATGTGGATGAACAGCAAGATATTTAAAATGCAATAGAAGCAGAAGGAGAAATTAAAGCGCACAGAGGTAGGTAGGTAGGTAGGTAGAATTACACGGCCGGTCCCGCTTAGGAACGCCGGGCCCAGGGAGTAACTGAGTGTACATGGCACTACTGTACACTACGGTCCCTGGACTCCTCTATACACCCGTAGCCGAGCTCACGATCTCAGTATTTCAACCCGCCGCGGTAGAACTAAAGGAGACATAAAGAAGTAAGTGTTGGAAAGAGAAACCTAGATTTAGCTTTGCAGATTCGAAGCACGGGGACCGCGCAAGCGAAATACAGGGACTGCATAGAACAGTTGAAGGACTTCATGAGCAAATTTAGCCACTAGCGCAATGTTAGGTCGGGAAAAGATTAAGGCTTTCAGGAACTCAGTGTCCGAGAGTACATCCATTTGGCTTTGGAGTTCAGGCGAGTTGGTGAATAATCGCTCCAAGAACGACGCGCGCAGTGTAACCAATGCATCTGAAGAGTTGCAGGTAATCATCGCGTGTTCAGGGCTTTCAACCATTACTTTGCACAGTCTGCAAAGCCGTTCCGACCGGGGTACGGGCTTGTAATCATGATCCGAGTAGCGCAACACTTCTAGGGCAAGCTGGTGAGTAGACAGTAACACCGAGGTAAGAGCCTCTCGGTGTGGTTGTGTCTTCACCATGGTAAGATAGTGCCTCATTTTTGAAGTTTCGCGAGTCGGCGGTCCGTCTTTTTGTGGTTCGAGTCTGCCTTGTAGCAAAT